AGCATGAAAGGGGTGTACTTTGCATTGAGGTTTGACTCATTCACATAAAGATAAAAACGCCAAATAAATCTATGAGGAAAAGAGAATATCTCCCCCAGATGCACAGATACAAAACAGAAATCTTTGTAGCCCCTGAGAAATAATAGACATTTTAAGAAGAAAGCTTGATTAGAGATGTAATAAATTAAGAGGTAGTCGTGGAACCTGTGGAGTAATGAGAAAGCAATGCTACTCCCAAACTGATGAGTAATAGTTTCACTTGACATCTTTTAGCCTAATATAACCTAGACTGTAGTCTCACAGAGGCGGAGAAAGTCCCAGAAATTCTTGGGAATCATATAATTTTAGAGGAAAAGGGGACCATTGAAATTATTTATTTTTAAAATCTTTTAACATATTCCCAATGAAATTGAAGATAAGTGATTTGACTGCTGGTACAGTCTACATCAGTGGTGGAGCCAGAAAACAGTAGAGCCAGGACTTCCACTGTTTGCTACCTCTTGTTCAGCCTACTTTGTGATGTCCTAATTGAACCATGTTAGGTCTTAAAGGGTGACATTGTTGTTTCATTTTTTCTAGTCTCAGCCTAGGGTTAGCTTGTAAGTGCTTAAAGATGCCCCTCTAGTTAACTTGGGTTGTTATTATGTGTATAGTTCAATGCTCTTCATCAATCAAAATTTTTCCAGGGTATAGGAGCATAGAATAGGCAAAATAATTGCCTGAGAGCTCTAATTTCATGACAGATACTATTTTTACAAAACAAAACCATCTTGGCAAATATTCATTTCTTCTTGGTGGTTTCTTCAAAGTTAAAAATAAGTTGGGAAGGAAAAATTTTATTTTAGCAATCTTTAATGATCACAGCCATTTCAGGAGGCAAGGGCAATGGAGCTAGGACCAGAGCACGGCTACATTGCCATCTTGCCACACGTGGACACTACCTGGTGCTCCTATGCCTTGGTCTAAGTAACTCTTGTTAACAATATGGTTTTTATATTGAGATCCCTTTACTAGTAGTTATTATTTCTCAGACTAATAGTACTAGTAACTTAAAAAATAATTGAGTCTATAGTTAAGTTCATGCTCATAGTCACAACACTGCTATTACCATTATTCACATTTAACAATGGAAAACTTAAGGCACAGAGAAGTTAAGCCCAATTTCTAAAGTTCACAGCTATCTGGTGGAAAAGTTAGGGTTAAAATTCAGGTCTTTTAACTTCCAGCTAGGCTTCTTTCTTATAGACATGTTCCTTTCAACATTAAAAAAAGAACATTCCTTGGTACTTTTCTTGAAATATGTGAATTTGTGGATACAACTGTTTCTTCTTCTTTCGATCATATGCATCATTTATCCTTTACCTCACCCCACATAGTTCCTTGAACACAGTAAGTGGTCAAAAAATGTTTTAACACAAAAATTGCTTTTTATAGGATGGATGTTATCCAAGGTAGGGTGGTGAGGCATTATATACAATTGGTTTAATTCTTTTTTCTTTCATCTCCACTGAAGAGGTTTTGGTCTAATTAGCAGACACTGGTCAGGCTAATTGTGTGGCCTGCATACACTTTACGATACCATCACTGAGTTATCAGCTTAAAATGCTAGCTTCAGTTCTTCATTAAAAACATGAGGATGTAGTATTTTTAATATGAAACAAATGGTTTCCATTTTCAGAATTATACTAAATTTCTTGAATTAATACGTGTCAACTTGACCGGACTAAAAGGTGCCCAGATCGAACTGTTGAGACACTATTTCTCAATGTGTATTTGATCATGGATCAGCATTAGAATTGGTAGACTGAGTAAAGAAGATTCTCTCCCCCGCATACCCTGGCATCATCACATCTGTTGAGGACCCAAATAGAACAAAAAGGTGGAGGAAGGGTGAATTCACTCTGTTTGAGCTGGACATCCATCTTCTCCCGCCCTGGGATACCACTGCTCCTGGTTCTCAGGCTTTTGGACATAAACTGAATTACACCTTTGGGTGTCCTGTGGTTCTCAGGCCTTTGGGCATGGACTGGACCTACACCACTGGCTTTCCAGGGCCTTCAGCTTACAGATGGCAGATCGTGGGACTTCTCAGCCTTCATAATCTTAATCCAATCTGTAGTAATAAACTTCTGTCTACATATATATATCCAACTGGTTTTCTCTGGAGAACTCTAATAGAATCTTTCTTCAATTTTATCATGCACCAAGCACTATTGTGAGCTCTTAAGTATAACTTTATAACCTCATAAACCATGGAGTTGGTGCCATTATTATGCTCATTTTTACATGAGGAAACTCAGACTTAGAAAGGTTAAATAACTTGCCCAAGATCTTGCTGCTAAAAATGGAAGAGACTAGGTCTGTTTGATTCTAAAATCTCAGCTATTATTCCTATTTTACTATATTTTACCTATAGCTTTGTAGCTCTGGCACAGCAACATTTCCCCAGATGGCTAAAATCTTCCCTATTCTATCTATATAGATATAGCCATACATTAATTAATTAATTTATATTTTTTTGAGAAAGAATCTCACTCTGTCGCCCAGGCTGGAGTGCAGTGGTGTGATCACAGCTCACTGCAACCTCCTCCTGGGTTCAAGCAATTCTCCTGCCTCAGGCTCCTGAGTAGCTGGGACTCCTGCCACCACATCCGGCTAATTTTATTGTACTTTTAGTAGAGACAGGGTTTCACCATGTTGGCTGGTCTCAAACTTCTGACCTCAAGTAATCCACCGGCCATGGCCTCCCAAAGTGCTGGGATTACAGGTGTAAGCCACCATGCCTGGCCTATTTATTTTTTTGAGACAGGGTCTCACTCTGTTGCTCAGGCTGGGATGCAGTGGTGTGATCACAGCTCACTGCAGCCTCATCCTCCCTGGGCTCAGGCTATCCTCCCACCTCAGCCTACTGAGTAGCTGGGACTATAGGCATGTGCCACCACGCCCAGCTAATTTTTGTACTTTTTGTAGAGATGGGTTTTCGCCATGTTGCCAGGCTGGTCTGGATCACTCCTGGGTTCAAGTGATCCGCCCGCCTCAGCCCCTCAAAGTGCTGGGATTACAGACATGAGGCACTGTGCCCAACCATTCTAGGTATTAAATAATTTCATGTAGTTATCCCAAATACAGACTATGTTCTGTCATGTCTGACTAAAATAAAAATTCAGCTTAGGGTTACTCCTTTTTGCAGACATTATTTGTTCTAGCTCTGAGATTGTATCTCCATGCTGCTTACTTTAGGTTGCAATATGTTCCCAACACCCACCTTTCAAGTTTTTAAAATGGTATTTCAATTTTTCTTCAGTTTGTATGCTCAGCCACCTGTGCACTTCCTCTACTTCTCCAAAGTGAAGAAAAGGAAAAAATTAGTTTTTTCTAATACAATATTCATAGAGAGGTCTGGATTGTTGGATTAATATACTGTAATAAGCAGCTCTCTGATTACAGCTCCCACTGGAACACTCCCCTAGTGGGAATGAAGGTTCCTGTTTTTTGATTCTTCCTGCTATCCCCTATTCCGTTTCAGCTGAGAATCCACCAAACAAGGATTGAGTAGACCAATCAAAGAATTCTAAGCAAGAAGGGATTGCACTGATGAGTTTCACTGCCTCCTTTTCAGAGAGACAAATGGAAGCCCACAGACTGATTACTAAAGCAGGTGTATTTTTATCTGTGCTGTCTTCTTATTCAAGACTCTAAGCTAGTCATCAAGCCAATGGTATAACTGATAGCTGATGGGAATTTCTGGAATGGGCGTTAAGTGTGACAGAAAGAAAGGCCCAGTGGTAATGTCGGATCTAAATGTAGATTACTTGGATTCCAATCTACTTATCAGCTGTGAGCTCCTGGGCAAATTACGTAACTTTTCTGTGACTCAATTTCCTTGACAGAGGGTGTGTAATAGTATCTGTTTCACACAGTTATTGTGAGAATTAAATGAGCTATTCTATCAAAAGTATTAAAGCTGTGGTTAAACTCTCAGTAAACATTAGTTATTTCTATGAAAGTTAAACTGCCAAATCCTTGAGTCTTGTGGCATTTCTCCTCAAAGTCTTCTGAACAGAAGTTGACGTTTGCATTTTAAAGGCGCTCAAATGGTTTACTTCCAAGAAGTTTGGGGCAAATGGATTATATATACACGTGACCTGCCAGGGTACGTAAACCTGGCGGACTTCAACAGTCTGGGGGTGACTGTCCTCAAGGGACGAAGGGATGCTTAGAAATTGCGTTTTTCAGGAGGAAGGTGGGGCCTTCAACGAGGGCGGCTGGCCACCAAAGAACTAAACTTTCACACAGCAAAGGGGAGCCGGTCTCCCTGCGCCCGCGGGCGTCGAACCCAGGCCCGGCTCCCACCGCCCAAAGGCCCGGGTGAGGCTGGAGAGCGACGAAAGCGTCCGACTTCGAGGCTGCGCTCAGCTTTGGGCTTTCACCGGGCAGTCTCACAGACAAAGGGGCTTCTCAGCCAGGTCGCTGTTTTGGTTTGTCGTCCTCCCAGCCCCCACCTTGGTCCCCAAACTTCCCCTTGCGCTGGCTCGGCAGCGTCCCTCACGTCACCCCTTTGGCCGCCACCCCGAGACCCTTTGTTGTCTGCCGTCCCTCCTAAGGAGGGGTGGGGGCTGCGACATTCCAGCGAGGAGAAACCGAGGGGTGCGAAGCAAAAACGCTCTTCCTCGCTCCCACCCGAGGAGCGCGCCCCATGACACTCGCCAACCGCCCTCCGGCAACAGCCCGGGCCGCGCCTCAGCCCCCTCACCCGGGTCCTCGGCACGGAGGAGGCGCGTGGCGCGGCCGGCGTTCTCTGATTGGCTGCGGGCGTCGGGGCGCCGCGCCGCGATTGGGCCGCGCAGCTGTCTGGAGCGAGAGCGCGCAAGGTGGGGAGGGGGCGCTGGAAGCTGCTGGAAGTCGGGCGCAGGGGATGCGGCGGGGGCGCCGGGGCGGGGACGGCGGGGACTACCGCAGGAGGGGCCGCGCCGGTGCAGGGCGATTGGGGGCGGCGGTCGCGGGCGGAGGCGGCGGCGGAGGGGGAGGTGCGAGCCGGGTGCCGCCCCCGGCCCCTCCCCGGCCCTCCCCGCTCCGCGCTCAGACAGCAGGCGGCCCAGGGGCGGGCGCGCCGCTGCATCCCCATCCTCGTCGTCGCCCGGCACAGCGCGAGCGGGCGAGCGGCGCGGGCTGTCGGAGCGCCGAGGCCCGGCCATGGCCACCACCAGCACCACGGGCTCCACCCTGTTGCAGCCCCTCAGCAACGCCGTGCAGCTCCCCATCGACCAGGTACCCCGAGGCGCCCCGGCGCCGGGCGTCGCGCCCTCGCCGCCCCTCTCGGCCGCGGTGCCACCCGACCGGGGGCCCGGGAAGAGGGTGGGGGCTGGGGCCGGGCGCCCGGTGCCCCCCTGCCCGCCGCTCCCTGGAAGGGAGGGGGCACCAAGCCGGTTATTGTCCCGGAGCCCCCTCCCTCCGCAGTGCGCCCCCAGCCTCCCATCCCCGGGCCGGGTGGGGTGGGCCGGGCGTTGTTGCCAGCGACAACCCCCGGGAAGGGTGGTCGTTTGGGCGTGCGAGTGTGCATGCGGTCCCTGCCCTCCGCGGCGGCGGTGCTCGGACCCCGTGGTCGGGTCCCGGGGCAGCCCCAGGTGCGCAGGGACTGGGGTGTAGACAGGGTGCGGAGAGCTGCGCTTGGAGAGGCCGGTGGTGCTGCCTGCCCCGCGCGCGGCTCTGAGCGACCCCCGGAGAGGCTGATGATTGGGTCTGGGTGTGCAGGGTGCCTTAGAGACGGCGTCGATGGGTGCGAGGGGCCCGGAGAGGCTTAAGCGCTACTGCACTTTGGGGACAGTTTGCGTTGGAGTGTGGCTTAAGAGAGAGGCAACAGTTTGGGGGAAGGCAGACAGGTTATGAAGAAAAGTCAGAGGGAGTTAATCCCAGGATTCTGGCTGAGAAAGTTGCAACCTCGTCGATAGCTGCAGCCACCGTACCTCCTGGCCCAGCCCCCAAAAAAGCTCTTGACAGGGAAGGGTGGCATTTAAATGAGGCCAATCGAGTTTGGTGGTTTAAAGGGCCTGCGGATTACTGAGAAATAAACAGCATTGTGATGGAAAAGCAGCGCCATTTTACTCAGAAGAGAAAGTTTGGAAGTATTTTGCTGTGAGAGTGAGATTTAGGGAAATTGTTGATGGGGTGGGGGTGTGGTTAGGTGATTGCTCTAGCTCCAGGCTAAAGGTAGTTAACTTTGGAAATTTTGCTTACGATGATTTCAAGTGTACTTAACCTGGAAGTGTTTGCACTTTACACGGAATACTGGTTCACTGTCTTGAACTTGAAGGTGCTGCTGTCATTTAGTCCTCAGGGATTTCGTTTCAATACAGGATTCCTTCTTGTCCAGATGGCTTTTCGTAGCAGCAGCCTGGAAACCTGACATTAGGTTACTAGCTGCCTTGCGCCATACTGTTTTAAATAAAATCAACTTAAGTATGTCGAAAGGGTGTTAAACAATTGTGGCTTATGTTGAAATCTCACATCGCAGTCATAACTTCTGAGTAATAAATAGTAAAGTATCTATCCCCATCTATCTTGAACAACAGTTCTAATGTGTGTCATGCTAATAAAGTGTGGCAGTGAAATTAATCGTGTATTTGAAGAAAATATTCTTCTCTCTTTATTAATAAATTAACCAGAATTTAGGATTTTTCATCCTCTCGGCCCTGTGGAGGATTCTCGCTGACGTTTCCACACTGGTGTGTAGTGTATGACCTTTCAGCATATCACACTCCTGCCTTAAATAGGCTGCTGCTAGTGTATCAGCAAATGCAGGGTGGGTGTCTGTTGAAAAGTTCCTTGCTGATGAGGAGCATGGGAGATAGGTTTGTACATTTACATTTCTTTCAGAGAGATGGGCATTTCTTTCAGAGAGACGTTCTCTTTTTCTTCCCCCCCTTTCCCTCTCCCTCCATGTCTGCCATTGCCCTACCCATCCCTGCCATGCTGAAATATTTTCTTCACTATGCTAGTAATACCTATTCATTTACATAATGCTTATAACTGTTTAACTTGATTTGATATTAATGACCTCATTTAAACACCCAGAGAAAGTTCTTTTCAGTACTGAAATAAGCAGGAGAATCAAGGGAAAGCGACATCCATCTTTGTTAGCTAAAGGTCTTGAGTTTGTACCTTGGGACTACTCTAAGTTTGTACAGCCATGTATACCGCTGACTTTGTATAGCACAGTCGTGCACTGCACAGTGACATTTTGGTCTTCAGACAACGTGTCTGATGGTGGTCCCATAGATTATAACAGCTGAACAATTCCTATTGCCTAGTAAAGCTGTAGTCGTTGTCATGTTGTAGCACAACACATGACTCATGTGGTGATGCCAGTGTAAACAAACCTACTGTGCTGCCAGTCCTATAAAAGTCTAGCACATACAATTATGTACAGTACATAATACTTGATAATGCTAAGTGTGCCACTGGTTTATGTATTTACTATACTTTTTATTGTTTTAGAGTATACACCTGTTTATGAAAAAAAAAAGTTAACTGTAGAAGAGCCGGAGGCAGGCCCTTCAGGAAATATTCCAGAAGGCATTGTTATTATAGAATATAACAGCTCCATGCATGCTATTACCCCTGAAGGCCTTCTAGTGGGACAGGATGTGGAGGTGGAAGACAGTGATATTAATGATCCTGACCCTGTGTGGGCCTAGGCTAGTGTTACTGTTTGTGTCTTAGTTTTCAATAGTTTTTTAAATTAAAAAAAATTTTAAAAGGAAAAAGCTTATAGAATAAGGATATAAAGAATATTTTTATACAACTATACAATGTGTGTTTTACTCTGTTATAAAAGAGTTAAAAAGTTAAAAAGAAAAAAATTACATTAAGCCAAGGTTAACTTATTATTGAAGAAAGGGAAATATATTTTATAAATTCAGTGTAGCCTAAACGTAGAGTGTTTATGACATCTACAGTGGTGTCCAGTAATGTCCTGGACCTTTGCGTTCATGCAGAACTCACTCACCCAGAGCGACTTCTAGTCCTGTAGGCTCCCTTCCTGGTGAGTGCCCCATATGGATGTACCATTTTAAATCTTTTGTGCTGTATTTTTACTGTAACTTTTAAATGTTTAGATACATACTTACTATTGTGTTAGTTACTACAGTATTCAGTACAGTATAGGTTTGTACCCTAGAAGTAATAGGCTGTACCTTCTGGCCTAGGTGTGTCGTAGGCTATGCTATCTAGGTTTGTTTAAGGACATTATGGTGTCCACACAGCAACAAAATTGCCTAATGATGCATTTTTCAGAATATAGCACCATCATTAAGTGACACATGACTGTATTTTGAGTTGTTTTCTCTTTGAGCAAGTCTTTAAAATATTGGATTAATATCACACAAACCTTAACTTTTCATAGTGATAATAAATTGTTTATTTGAAGCACCTAAGAGTTGACTTTCTAAAGCTCATTTTGTAAAATTAGATGACTAAAGTCATTTACCCATTTTAAAATTGAGCAAAATAGAAAATTTTTATAATGTAAGCAATTTAGTCTAAGTTGAGAGAACGCTTACGAATTTTTTATAATTTGATAAAGTGATTCAACAGGAAAAAGACAAGTCAGGAAATGAAAAGTGTAAAAATATAACTTGTTAGTATGTTAATTTGGTATGTGCTAACTAACAATGTTTTGAAAAATTAGGAAATTATAAAAGCAGTTTGATGTCAGAGGAAGAGAGGGGCTTTAGTGTAAGGAAAACAATTAACTTTTTACTAGGTAAGTGTGGAATTTCTGAGATGATGGAAATTATTGTTCTGCATGGAATGTAAGAATGCACCTTGCAGGGCAAGGTAGCAGAAAGGAGAAAGTGTTTTGCAATTAGGCTGAGGCCAGGGAAGAAAAGAAGCAAAAGGTTTTGCCTTACACTCCTGGGTTGTTTAATTTTTACTGAGAATTCCAGAGTGACCTTGAGGTAGCCATAGTATTTGTTCAATAGGCCTTAAATTTAAATAAAAATACAGAATCTATTATCAAGTGAGGTTACACGATGCTCTAAGATGGAAAGTATCTGGCATCTGATGTTCGCCTTTCTAGAGCTTGCTTTCCAGAAGACTTTATTTCTAGGGTAATGTTTGGTAGGTGGTTATGATTAAAGAAATGTATGGAGAAGTGGGTTTTGAGGAAGGAATTGGACTGAGAAAGAGCTGTGCTAAATGTGCTAGACAACGTAAGGAATCATTGAAGGTATCTGTGTTCTTTATTATTAATAGTTGCTGATGTGCTGGATTTTTAAGACTCAAAAACAAATACCAAAATGAAACAAGAAAATAATTAAATGTCCCAGGTCAACCTATTTTTTAGTGTTTTTTTTTTTTTTTTAATCTTAACATATCATATACTCTATTACATCGATTTACCTAACTCCAAGTTACCAGATTCAGTTTGCTATCCAGCCTTTTCCCTCTTTCTCCCTCCCTGCTCTTTCTTTCCTTTTTAACAATTTTCTGTCCTTATTTCTCATCATGCTGTAATTACTGCTATGAAACTAGAGTAAATTTCCCTAGTGATGTGATATCCAGGATGGCATACTTGGCAGAAGGCCAGTTAGGGATGAGGCTGGCCTTTATAAAGTCATTGAACAGCCATGTTTAGGGACAGGGGTCATTGTTTTAGAGATGATGTGCTGAATTCCGGGCAGGGAGAGGGGCAGGATGGAGACTCAGGATATTTCGAAAGGTTTGGAGGGGGAAGGGGAGGAGGAATGGTTATATGATACTAATCCTGCAAAGTCAGATAATAATTATAATGTCTAACACTTAATACAGTTTTCAAAGCTGTTTCACACAGATTATGCTGTTTAATCAAATCCTCACAACACCTTGTGAAGTCAGATAAAGTTCAAGGCCTGAAATATTTAGCTTCATGGGTGTGTGTGTGCACGCATGTGTGGTTTTACCATTTGAATAATAAAGGTCAATTTTAGTTTATAGTCTTAATAGTATGTGGCAAATATTTTTGGTAGATCATTGTTTTAGATCTGAGCTGTCAACATATTTTGGAGGGAAAGGTGGAGAGCAACAGCTTCCTACAGGCCCCGGAAGTCAACACTGAAGGGCTAGGGGTTGTGGTTGACACAGGGAAAATGATGATGTGTGTAAGGGGGAGAAAGCGGTGTGGGCTTATGAGATCTGTTTCCTTTTTGAACAGTTCGTTGACTGATACTTTCTGTATATTCCCCCCCTGCACTGTGCAGGTAACCAGTGACGTGAAGTTGATGTTAGAGAAAAGAGTAGTTTAAAACATTAACCTCTTTAATCTTCCTGCAGGTCTGTACTATGATGAATTCCATTTTGTAGATGAAGAAACAAGTGAAGTTCTCATTATTGAGCCTTCTTAAGAGTATGACTTTTAGGAAGAGAAGGTGAATGGCAACAAAACAAGCAGATCAAAGATTTATTTTAAACTTTCTATTTGATTACTGTAGGTTTAGAACATCAATATTTAACTCATTTGTCTCTCCTGTCTACTTTTATACTCATAATGAGCGTTAGACTTCATCATGAGAACACTGAAATACCCAGTCTGTTGTGGATGATTCCTTTTCATCAGGAAGGCATATGGGACTGAGAATCTCGAATCTGTATTTTAGCCCCTGTCAGTTAACAAGTTTAGATACGTTACTGTACGTAAATGAGTTTCCTCCTCTGTGTGTGTTGGGCTTAGTTTTAAAATTCCATGATTCTCTGTCTTATTAACTGATGAAGCTGCCCAAATTCTTTTTGGTCCAAGTTGGAGAGGTAACAAATAAAAACTTAGAGGAGGGGCTGGGTGTGGTGGCTCCTGCCTGTAATCCCAGTACTTTGGGAGGCCGAGGCAGGTGGATCATGGGGTCAGGAGTTCAAGACCAGCCTGGCCAAGATGGTGAAACCCCGTTTCTACTAAAAATAAAAAAAAAATTAGCCGGGCCTGGTGGCAGGCACCTGTAGTCCCAGCTACTTGGGAGGCTGAGGCGGAAGAATCGCCTGAACCCAGGAGGTGGAAGTTGCAGTGAGCCAAGACGGTGCCACTGCATTCCAGCCTGGGTGACAGAGTGAGACTGTCTCAAAAAAAAAAAAAAACAAAAACAAAAAATACCAAACACAAAAAAACTTAGAGGAGGAAAGTGAACTAATAAATTTTGAAGATGTTTTCAATAGTAAAGAGAGTTGAAACTGCCTCTCTATTTAATTCAGAGCAGCTAAGTAAAATACCACAAGCCCTGACAGCTGCAGCCAATATAGGTTTCTCTGTATTCCATTGTCCTTTGTTAATAGGAAGTAGTAGGGTAGTGGCGTAGTGGAAATGGCATGATTAGGTTGGCAGCCAGACTCTGCCAGCCTCATGCTCTTTGACAAAATACTACATTTTTCTTTAAGCTCTAGTTTCCTTATCTGTAAAATAAGGATGATAATAAGTAGTAGTACCTACTTGTAGGTCACTGTGAATATTGAAACCATAATTGATGTAAAATGCCAGGCTTCTAGTAGATGTTTGATGCACAGTTCCTCCCTCTTTACAAATTATGAAATTCCTGGAATTTATGTTTTTATTTTGAGAAGTTAACATCTGTTCATATGTATTTCGTTTTTAATCTTTAGGACTTCCTTTTTAGGAAGAGAAATACAAGGCTTGCTTCGGTCATATGCCCACACAGTGATTAAACTAGGATTAAAATTTAGTTTTGAATTTGGAGTCAAAAGTGGTTTTTCTGCTTCCCTACTGCTTTAAGAGCTCTTTGTCACCCTGATTTAAAAACGCTTCCTATGTTGTTACTGCCCCTGTAGGTACAAATAGGCTTCATCTCTGTTTATTGGGTCCATGAGGGCCAACTTTCCAGGGAAATAAAACAGCTCACACACAGCTTTTGCCTCCAGTTGGTTTAACAGGTGGGACTCTACAATGATAGCACTTGGTAAGATTCCTTTAAAATAAAACAAGCCATAAAAATGACCCTCAGCAGAGTGGTCTTTTAATGAATTTTATGCATAATATGGATGATTGAAGCAGGCTTTGTAGTGTGTGTGTGTGGCAAGGGAGGGGCAGCTGATGGTGGAAACTGCTTAGGATGCAGGAGATCAGAACAGGCACTGGTGACGTGCCCTTTCTGCCATGGCTTCCCAATCGTAACGGCCCTTCCTGTATTCAGTGCACCTTGCATCCGAATCTTTTTCTGAGTCCCATCTGATGTGACTCCTTCCTTATTTGAGCCATGAGAGTATTTTGGATTTGGCATTGTTCTGGGATTTACATTCTGCTTAATGTTGTATGTATCATTCAGGGTTCTGGTAAGAGACAGATTGAAGTTGGTAACTAAGGCAACCAGGTAACTTAAAGAACTGTTTACAAAGATGTGGGCGGGTCTTGGGAAATCAGCGAGGAAGAGTAAAGTTGCTGAGCCAGCTGTACTAGATGTGGAGGGTCAAGGGGGAAGGAAGGAGCAGAACCCCAAAAGAGTGGCTGTGGAGCAGGGGCTGCTTGGCAGCAGGGAAGGAGGAGCTGTGGCCTTCAGTTGAAGGACTCAGCCAGCCTACAGTGAACCTGAGTGGGGGCTGTGGTCAGGAAAGCATGCCCCTGCCTCTCACTTCTCCTATCCTTTCATCTCCTGCTGGGGTCTACTTCAGAGGACAAGTTGGAGCTTTGGGGGAACAGAATAGAGAGGAGAGTGGATCTGGATTGCATTTAAATACAATCCAGAACATTGGGGTTACTTCAGTATTACTTATTTCTCTACCTGATGAATACAATTAAAAACCCTTGTCGTCAGACTCCTTTATGCACATTCTTATTTTGTGTCTTTATTCTCAGTCATGGATTTTGAAAGCATAGTTGATTTCCTAATTCCAGTTCACTTTTAAAACTATTCTAATCATGCTTCTGTCTCTGACACTTGCAGCCAAATCCAGTGGCAAATGTTGAGACATACAGCACTCATCAGTTACTTTCTTGCCTAAAACTCTTCACAGCTTCCATGTTGCCGAGCCATTGTGGTGCTTTTTTAAAGTGTAGCTCTGAGACCACTTGTGTGAAAAATCACTTGAGATTGTTATTAAAAATATACATTCCTAGGCTCTACTCAGTGAGGGACAGGGAGTCTGCATTTTTGACAGGGCTCCTACTTACCCCCACCCCTGACCACCATCACAGATAAGAGACTTGGGCCAAAGTTTTTAAGCTCTCCATATTATTAAAAGTTTATTAAAATGGATTGTATTTTTTTTTTTTTTTACAATGCTTATATTTAACACGTTAACATGTACCCACTAAAATATAACGCAGTGCAATTGTGTTGTTGACAATATAGTCACAAGATTTGGGAAAAATAAAATTCATAGTGCCTTCTGCTGTAGGCAGTTTGGCTCTGAAATAAGACAAGACTAAAGCTGGATGATGTACATATCTCCCTTCAGTCTTGTCACTGCATCTCTGGTGACTGTTTATATAATCTCATGTGTAGAAAATGTTGAAAATCTAGATTTTGGGTCCTTCCTGAATGGGAGGCCTGGGCCAAGTGTCTCTTTTGGCCTGCTCTGTGAGAGAACCTGCTCCATCTGATTCTTTTTTCCCTCCTTTTATAATTTTACTTGTTTATTTATTGAGTTAGTCTGGAATGCAGAGGCTCAATCTTGGCTCATTGCAACCAGTAGTGAGATTGCTGGATTATATGGCAGTTCTGTTCTTACTGTGAGATTACCTTTGAGAGCCTCTATCTGATGGGGTAGGCTTAGAACCTTGGAAGGATGGCTTATTCAACCCCCGACCCCTGGCAAACTCTCACACTCTTTCCACATATGCCAGGTAAATTGCTTAGAGCCATGTATGCAGAAGTGGCGAGCTGGAATTTAAATCCTGGCTTTCTGCTGCTTGAAGTACTTGTATACTCAATTACTTAAAATTCTCCTCAATACATTTTCTGTCTTTTAACTCCTTGCCTTTGATTAAGCTGTTTCCTCCTGAAATCCCTGCTATACTTTTTGGCTTGGCAGATCCATATTTTTCAATAGTCAGCTAAAGCCTGTGCCTTCTTGATGAAGCGTTTTAAGATTTGCCCTGTCCTTTCCTCCCTTTTTGGGCATCTGGCATGCATGGTATGTTCATTTGTGCATGCTATACCTACATGCCCTAAGTATTTGTAGTACTTCTGCCTTAGGCTGCAGGCCTTCCAGCTGCACTGATGACTTGGGACCCCTTCACGCAGCTGTCTCATATCCTGTGCAGCATTTATGTCCTGAGGTCAGTGTTCTGGAGGACTGAGAGAAGAGAGGCCGCTGGTAGTCCTGTCCCACCTCTCTTCTTTGCTCTGGACTAACCAGCCTGTCCTGTCTCTGTACAGCAGAAACCCAGTGTCATCTAGTTCTTTCTTAGGAAGGAGTTAATGGCAAGATTCCATGTGCGGTCCTGGCCCCTCTCCACTGGCTTCTTGTCTTATGTGAATCTCCCTCCAACTCCAGGAAGCAGTGCTGTGAGAGTGTGCCTGATGTTCCCAGGTGACTGGGCCACTCTGTTGGTTAGGGCCTTCCAAACAGTCCGCCCGTGCCCTGCTATAACACCTAGAGCATTGCATTGTTTTGCTTGCTTTACAGTTCTCCCTCCCAAACTAAATTCCTTAAGAATAAGGACCTCCGCTTACTCATTTTTGTGTCCCGTCTGCTTAGGACCGACCATTCTTGGTGTGGAGCATGTTTGGAGTCCGCAGGGCTGGTGTGATGAAAGCACAGACTGGCTCAGCTTCTGACTGTCTCTTGTTAGCTGTGTGCTCTTGGCAAGGTGCTGATCTTTTATTTGCTTTAGTTTTCCTCATCTATAAAATAGGGCACATGGTAGGTTCCTCCCCACAGAGTTGTGATTTGCACCAAGGAGATGATGCACACAGAGACAGAACCTGGTGCCTTGGGTGTTACTGATTTTAAGTGGCTTTCCAGGGCAGGGCACTGTGCTGTTAAAGCCTTCACATTCTTCAGAGTCTAGGAGAGTGTTCTCTGTCATCCATCTTACAAGGAGTTGAGTGTCTCATGTATGTCAGGTGGTATACAAGACACAGGGTACAGCGGAGAAAGTGATTGCAGTAGAATGCAGTGATTTTCAGACTTGTAACAAACACCACAGCTCCTTAGAGCACTTATCCTGGTAGCAAGGGCCAGGTCCTGCCAAGGAAATTAGGAAGGCCAGAATCTGAGGGTGTGGTCTAGTGGAGTCATACTGGGTGCGTCCAGGGGACTTTTCCTGGGAACTGTGTACTTTCCCTGTCTTCCACTGATACTCACGCCTCCTGAGCCAGGTAGAAGGCTGGTTAGGGGCTGGGGAATCTGTGGACACTCACTTTTCTGGCTGACAAGCTTCTACACAGACTGAGCTCCCCAAATTGGGTTCAGGTCACTCTGCAGCTGTTCTCTCTTGCAGCTGGTCTGTGCCTCTTACTGCTGTGGAGTTGTGAGCATTTCGATGCGTTTGGTGGTTAGGCTCATTGAAGGACCGTGCAGCAGGCCTCTCTTAGGTAAGAAGTGAGTGATAGAAACCTTTTTGGCTGACTTTATTTTTTTCAAATGGGTTATTTAAAAGGAAGCTGAGGACATGCAAAGCATTGAAGAATTTTGGGGGATTTTGGCTGGATTATTAAAAAAGAATTGAAGATAACTCTAGAAGTACCAGTATTCTTAGCTGGATGATTACAGTGTCAGGTGTGGTTGGAAAGAGAAGCTTTATGAGCATTTTAATCAAGAGATTCAGATAAAAGAAGCCTGCAGTTGCACAATTGTCTTTATCGATAAAGAACAAAGGACTGCCACTTTTAGTGTCCTTTTAGTAGGGCTCTCCAGAAAGACTCCTTTGAGGTACCTCACCCAGCCTCCATGTCCTTCAGCCATCCATCCAGTCCAGGGAAGCCTGGCTTTTGGGCAGCAGCAGATGAGTCATTGACAGATCCTCCCAGAGAAGCTCAAAGGAACAGGTAAACTTGTGTCCCCTTGGAGTGGGGAAAGCTCTGCAGAGCTAGGCGACCAGCCAGCTGCCAACCCTGTGGACCACATTCTTCTGGGAAGTCCCAAACTCTGACCAGCATGCCTTGCTTCTGTGTAGGCATTGGACAAAGATGTAGCATTCCATTTTAATCCATTATCTTATGGAAACTTTTTTGGGTTTTGGAGATTTTCTGTGCCAGACTTAGGTGTTAGTGGAAGGTCAGAGTTATACATAATATGTAATTTTAGATGTATTTAAGTCGTTCAATTATATGTATAGTATATATTAAAATAGATAGCTCCCTGCTTATACAAACACACACAGCATTCTGGTTCTTTTAATTTTCTTTTTGAAACTAAATTACAGCTAAAACTACAATACATACATGAAAAACATCCAAGTGACACTTTCCTTGTTAAAACTGAATGGAGAGGGTAGGTGCAGTGGCTCATGCCCGTAATCCCAGCACTTTGGGAGGCCAAGGCGGGAGGAATCCTTGAGTCCAGGAGTTTGAGATCAGCCCAGGCAATGTAGTGAGACCTTGTCTCTGTATTAAACAAAAAGAATGAATGGAGAGAGGTACTGCCTTTTACAGAACAAGTAGTTACAAAACCACTTATCTACTGGGTGCTCAATAAATAGTAATTAAAATTGGTGTATTTAATTGAACAATATTAAATTTCAAGATAGATGGAAAGATGTGCAATAAAGGTCTAGAAGTTAATTGTATAGATAAAAATGACTTGAGACCAGATGTATATTTTGTTAACAAGCCCTGGGAGTTTTTGTTTATTGTATGGTGTTGCTTAGCTGACCAGATCATGGGGTTAGGTGAAGTAGCTAATGCCAACATAAATTCCAAGTTCAGGTGCCTGGAGGGTACCAGGGAAGGAACATGAATGTAAAGGCAGTTGCACGGGTTTTCTGAGGTATGGATAACATGACCATCTGCAAGACCATGTCCTGTCTAAAAGGAGAGCCCCTAACCACTTTTGCTAATCGTGAACATAAGGGAATGTTGGCTTGGTGCTGCTAAAGCTGATTTGTCAAGGGAAGATGGAAATTTTGATTTTTTTTTTAAAATATTATTTTTAAAAATTTGGGTAACATTTTAAGTTTTCTCTTTTTGAGCCCTAACAACACATCTAGACTAGATTTAGCTTATTGGCCACCAGGAATTAGGTAGCAGTTTCTGTTACAGTTTATGGTATTCAGTCCAATCTGAAGTACATTTGTGTTCTGAGACTTAAAAGGAACATTGACAAATGAGATTATAACCAGTGTGGGGCACTGAGGACTACAGAATGCCTGAAACCCATGTCAAGCAGTAGTTGAAGGTATGGTTCTTATATTTCACCATTTAGTAATTTTATCCTTAAATTGGCCGAAAGAGTTTCAAATTTTATCTGACTAGTTCTTTTCATTTGGAGAAGATCACATCTTGGAAATAATCTTGAAAGTCAATACCCCATTACAGTGGAAAGTTGGAATTTCACACTACTATCAGTTTATCCTTTTTGCAGATCCAGTATTACTATTATTAATTGGTTTACATTGTCAAGGCTATTTTATGGTATATGACATTAAAAAAATGTCTAGCTGGAGGGGAATGAAGAAATACTTGGAAAGGTCTTGATAAGCCCGTCAGTTTTTCAGTTTTCTTAGAATGTGTATTGATTTTTGGCCAAAATGTTTTATTTTGTGATAACTCTGGAGTTACCAGCTTCAGAGTTTAGGTTTAATCTGCGATGGGCTTCACTGTGAGTGTCAGCGTGCCTTTTCCAATACTAGGACTGACACAGCTGTTCATATTAGCTGCATCCCAAGAATAGCAGTGACGGAGATTTTTGGATTGTAAGTAGAGCCAAGAAGATGAACGTAGAGGACAGGGTAGAGGTTTGTCAAGCTAGTACTTAGTATCTTTGGAGACAGCTAAGGGGTCCTTAGTATAAGCTTATAATGTTGGGTGCTATAATTATAGTCCTTGTGTATTTCCTGTACGATGAAACTAGTTATGTCTTCACCTTTTGTTCTTGGAAAATACTTTTAAAGCCACATAGTAAAGGAAAATTTTGGTAAACTTGGCATCAAACATTGAGCCTCTGAATGGAAATTCTGATATACTAATCAAAATTAGAGAGTGGAATTCTAGGCATTGTGGAACTGTATTGTCTGTTGCAATTTTTATATGAATTGAGGGAGTTCATTTCTAAGGACTCAGTTTCTTTTTAAGGTACAGGAAATATAAATTAATGGAGAAATATTCCAAGAAGGTTTTTGGCATAGACTCAGAGTTTTACTTTATAGGATTATAAAGTGATCTATTAAATAATTTTTAAATGAATATTGCATTGGGAAGAAAACACTTCGGTAGATTTAAAAATTCTTAGAAATTAATAT